TTCTCGACCATATTGAAGTAGTCGATGCAGTCTCCATGACCGAGCCTCGACGCGCGGACTTGAGCTTTCGTCAAGACTTTCGGGAGCTCCTCCAGCGTGGTCGAAGTCAGACCGCCTTCCTTGGAATAACCACAAGAGATATGCTTAAGCGCAGCCTCATCGAAACCATCGGTAAACCTGTGCATAAGTCAGGTGGTGTCAAAAGAGGGAGGGACTGGAAATACCACTGTTTCAGTTCATCCGCCTCTTCAATCTTTGGGTTCAGAGGGAATTCGGTCTTCTCGCTTGAATTCAAGGTCACCCCTCCACGGTGCTCAACCACGGAGTTCATGACGTGCAAGACCTGACCGTGCTTTCCACTGAAGATCTTCGCTCGAGAATTCCACATCGTGACACGTACAACATGGCCTTCTTTGTCCACCACTTGGACTTCACACAGCATACGGGACTTTTGCTTGGTCGAGGCTTGTTGGGTCGAGCCATCAAGGGCAACAGACGCAGATCTCATCGCAATTGGCTTGGTGACGAGCTTGCCGACTTGAAGAATGACGCCCAAAATGTTCACTTTCGATTTATCTTCAAGAGCAGCAAGGAACGAAAGAGAAGGATGATCTGGGAAATATAGATGTTCTTAGTCTCGGTTAGCTCCCGCTCAGTCCAACTTGCAGAACTGTAAGACATACATGCAGGCGGAACAACACCATCATGTCATCGGCAATGGTCAACTACCAGCTGTGCATATTCCCCGGCATGAAATGGGGATTCACTTTATTGGGACTGATGCAAGCATTCGAGATCGCAACCATCTGTCCCATTGTCAGCCAATCGTTACCAGGAAGGCAACACACTGCACGACTTACTTTGCCGATCCCTGCCGATTGGAAACAGGCAGAGGCTTTTTCGTCAAAGATGCTGACACAAAGAAGGGTCTACATATGCGCATATATTCAGGTCATATCTGATGACTGACATGAGCAACTCACCCCGAAGGTATCGATCAACAGAGCAGTGAATAGCTTCGCCTCACCAGCGGGGTTTTTGGCCGGTATGATCTGAGGCCCGAACACATCCATGATCGATCCATAGACAGTCCATCGAGCCGTCATGTTAGTGTTCAGCACAGAGAAGGGGATGACCGGATCCATGCGAAGAGCTCGATATTTCACTCCGATTAGCCCTCGCTGGCTCGTAGATCTGTCGTTCACCACTTTCTTGCTCGATGATCAACCTTGCATCAAGGCAGAGGATCCTCTGGAGGCAGCCAGCTTGCTTGAAACACCTCTGCTTGTGGACGAGGGCGATGTCCTACCGGTCAAGAATTGGTTGACTGAACTGCCGATCGAAGATAGAAGGGGAGTCTTCGCCGGTCCAATGCCGGACCAGCCCAGGTGACGAGGGCCCGTCTCAGGCTTTTCTTTGCCCTTGCCTTCACGGCCAAGGGTCTCTTCATTCGTTGGTCCTGCTTGAGTGGTGGCAGGTTTGAGAGGTGCATCAACATCATTAGGGCAATCAGTCGAAGCATTCTCGTCGTGAAGATTTTGACAGGCAGATTCGGATGGGTCATGTGTGAAAGTACGGTAGAGGAGTGAGTTGGATACACTACGCCTTGAGACACTCGAGGCAGAGGGGTGGGCGGTCACTCCCTCGCGTTCTTCAATCGACAGAGGGGCAGACACGACTGCGTCGAGCTGTAGACTTATCTCTTTTGGGTCACCGATGATCTCCGTCGGCTCGAAGTATGGTACAGCAGCAGTCACAGTGATAACACTGAGCAAGCATGAGGAACGTTCATCACCAAAGCTGACTATATGCATACCGATAACCCCATGACATTCCTCGACACGCAATCGATCTTCAAACATGAGCCCCTCTTGACAACTTCATGGGTAAAGTACGTATTCATGTTGGGCAACAGCATGATGAGTACTTGATGACAACCATCGGATAGCACTGCCCTGTGGAAGAGCAAGTCAGCTCACTTCTTGCACGGGTTGACAAGGATGCCATACCCAAATTTGGGACGGCTGCCGATTTGATGGCCGTTGAGCAAAGCGGGATATACGTCGATCACCTGAAGAACCATATCTTCGAAGGTGCTGGTAGTGCTGAATCCAGCATCAGGCGGTCATCTATCCCAATCTTTGGCGTCCTGCCAAGAAGACAAAAACAGACCCAATCGATCTGACTGTCAACGATGACATGGTGCACAGCATGAGCTCATCACGATCTCTCATTGCTGACATCATTATCCAGGTCACTGTAAAAGCCGAGCCAGTCAAGTTCAAGAACCCCTTCATCCAATCGCAGATGTCATACAAAGACCTGAAAGCTCGTTTGACTTGCACCAAGGACAACTCTATCACCAAGACCGGCCTGATTCTCATTCTTGATCATGAACTCAAGGCTCTAAAAAAGGAGAATTTCAAGCTGAAAGACGCTCTGAAGGCAGAGAAGGGTGGAGAGGTGAGCAGGTAGATGGGTGGTTCGAGTAAGACCGACCTGATTCTTATTCTCCGTCATGAGCTCAAGGCTCAGAAGAACTAGACTACAAAGTTGAAAGACAGACTTGGGGCGGTGGAGGGAGCAGAGGCAAGTGGGTAGATGGATCGATGGAGTTGTTGTAGAAGTTGCATGCTGGCTTCATTTATCCACTCTCTCATTTGTCTGTATCATGATCTGCTGTACCACTACATTGCAAGGACTCGTAACACAAGACATACCTAACAACCATCTGTATCTCCCATACTGTCAATACTTTTTAGGGGTAATGGGCGATGATTTTTCTGACCAATCAAATGAGCAATTAAGATTGTGAAACTGGATGCATTCGGTGCAATCAAGTTATTAAAGAATGCTAGAAGCTGCTTTTGCCTTTAAATGGACTGACAATTGACGACAACTTGAAAGACCCTAGACAGAAGCATAAGACAACCAACTTGCGCTTGATCTCAGACCATACACTCGTACAGGAGTCCTTTGCAGACAGCTACCTTGGTCACCTGATAAGGGGTCCCAGCATTCCGCAAAAGACCTCTGCTGGTCCCACATGGCCAGTTTGGCCATGATTTTGGCTTTTGATGGCCCTGTAGGGACCCCAGTCATCGGCACATGAAGTTCTTGGGAGGGCATGAAAAGGCAGGAAAATGGAAACAAATGGCTTACATAAGCAGTCACGTGACTATCACGTGGCTTTGGCTATGGACTTATGTTGGAGTCACCAGCATTGCCCGGAGTGCTGGTAAGAATTCCGGAAAGATCAAGAAGAAAAGAAGCAGAGAAGCGTGGGGAAGAACAGAAGCGGAGACCAGCTCCATCCGGTCTGCATCACTGGACCTTTCCAGCGGTTCTGCAGGCAAGCCACATGGCACAGCTATGCCGGAGTCCAGGATCTTCCAGGATTCTCCTAAAGACCCTGCCTTCTTTTCTTCTCATTTCTTCTTCCCTTATTACCAGCACTCCGGGCCACATGCAACTCAAACACACAAACCAGTAGCCAAAATCACGTGATAGTCACGTGATTGGTTATGTAAGCCATTTGCTTCCGTTTTCCCGCCTTTTTGCGCCCTCCCAGCACCTGAGTGAATGGGGTCCTCTTCTGCCTGGAGTCAAGAGGGGGGGCAAATTGCACAGCCACTAACTGAAGCTGAAGCACGTGGACCCCTAAAAAGCTGTCTGCAAAGGACTGCCATATGCTTGCATTGCCAGCAGGCTGAGTTTTTGGTGTAATGCTCCCCCAACAATTTGACCTGCTGCAGAAAACCCACAACAGTGTAAGAATTTCCCTCCATGCAGAAGCATGAAGGTGCCAAAATGCAAAGTCAACTGGGAAGGCTATCACTCACCTCCACTCTTCTTGCACATATTTGGCTGCCAATACCATCTGTCAACAGCTTCGCAATAACAGCCAGATAGGCTATCTACCACATTGTTGACATGAGGCATCTGATCAGGGAACAGCATAAAGGGGTCAATGATTCCAGCATAACTGAGCTCTCATTGTACAACAATGGATGCTCACTCTGTCACAGATGGGCAGCCCGAAGTCAGTGTAGTGCAGCAAGAGTGTGTCTTGGCTGTTGTCAGAGATGCACCTATCAGTATACAAGCACAACTCTGGGGCTGATGGTTCTATCATAACTGGACATGGATGTGCTACATTGGAATCAGGGCAGCATTGTGTAAGCATGATCAACTGAACAATTGGATTATCTGAGGGGAACTGATATAGCTTGTCTCTGTTCATTCTCCTCCACAGATGCTCACATAAGCAAACAGTTTGAGGGGGTGGAGCCGGAGAATATTCAATACATCCTCTTTGTCATGGTTGTGACTGAGCTGAATTGTCAGCAATGTGCTCAACACCCTATCAATGCAGCATCTGTGGGACACAATCTTGTGTATCACTTTCTCAATGCCTACATGAGGAGAAGTCATTTGAACCTGAGATCTGTCATGCTGAGTATACTTGTGGCAGCATACATATATTGCAGACTGTCGACTGCCCCACTTGGAGCCCAACTTCATGGTACCATCCAGCCAGACTGTCCTCATGTACATGATGTCCTTGAGAGATGGACTGGCTGAGATCAACACAAGGTCATCCTCTTCGTCCTTGTTTGGTCCTGGCCCTGAGCCTGTGACATTGATTACTCGACAACTGCAGTTGTTCAATCTGCCTATTCTTCACCAGTCTCTACACCAAAGCCAGGCAGAGCAGCTGGAGGTAGATGTTGTGATACCATTGCCCAATGTCATGGACCAGGTCGTGGCTTCTCTCCTTGGCTCTTCTATCCCAAGTCCACTTGGATATGACCTGGCAGCTGGAATGACACCCATGGTCCCTCTCATGGGCATACTCAATCCTTCCAGCAATGCAAATTGCTAATGGTTCATTTGTATCAAGGAAGCTCATCCATCAAGGATAGACAGTTTGAAATATTGCACCAACCGCTTGATGGACTTTTCAACAACCCCCTCTACATCCACCTGGCATCCCAGTCAGATGACTGAACAAGATTTCCTCACCAGTTATCTTGATCATTATGCTGGGCAGCAAATTCCTGTTGCCCTTCCTTTGCCTCTGGTATCGGACAAACTTCCTTTAGCCTTTGGGATATATTTCTTTCAAGAAGGTAGCCAGCTTGCAGTCTGGTCTACCCTCAATCTGATACTGGTTGCTCAGCCTAGCTCCATCAGCAGGACATTGCAATATGTCATCATGGATGCCAGCCAGTCAATGTAGAAGACATTGTGGACACAATAGATCCATGCATCACAATAGTGTCCTTTGTGTAGTGTTATCAAATTCATCCATATATGTCAATAAGACCGACTACATGCTCCCAGGCTGCATTAGACAACTTTATGGAGGTAACCAACAGTGTGGCTGGTTTTGGTTCCACCAGTTGCCCAGCCTTATCAGTCGCCAATTGCCAGTGCCATTCCTTCTATTGTTCCTCCTCATCCCCAAGATCCTGTCAACTGGTCGATTGTTAACTCTCTCTCAACCCTTTGGCACACAAGCAAAAACCATGAGTATGTTGGTAGCAGCTCCCCCTCATGAGCTCACTGCCGCCATCCTTGATGCTCAAACTGCTCTCGCAACAGCCACAAGCCATTCTCCTGCCCCATCTGTTACTGTTTTGTTGTTTGGATCTGCGTATACTGCTCTCCAAGCCCAGATGCAGGAAGGTTAGAGGGACTGGTGTGTCTCCATATAACAGGCTGACTGTGCATATATGTAGCTCCAGATGACTGCAGTGCACACTGGACAGTGGTTCTGAAAGTCATTCAAATGCCGTTCTTCCTTCAAATGATAGCTGAAGTCCAAGAGGAGCTGTGTTAGGGCAACACAGGCTGACTAAGTCTGCTCACCTAAGAGTGCCAAGAGTCTAAGCAGGC